CCAAATTTTTTTGCTTGAGTAGGTCAGAGGTCAGGTCAAGGTCAGGTCAAGGGTACAACATGCAAGTTTCTACAGTATCGGCCTTGCACCGTAGTTGCCGAAGAATGGACTGAGACTGATTGCCCAAAAACGTGTTCTTAGACTACCCAGACAATATTCGTTGCATACAATGTCATTCAAAGGTCAAGGTCAAGGTCAGGTCAGGTTTTACTTTGACCTGACCTGTGACGTCATCGGTGACCTCGAGGTCGGTGAAATTGGGTTTCGCTCGACAGTTTTTCCGGGGCTGTCAGACGCCGTTTGGATTTTGACGATCGGCCCAGTGGTTTCGGAGTTGCGAGGGGGGGCTATGAATGCCCCCCCCCAGTAGGGCGTGTTGTGCGCGGACCCCAGTGGGGCGCGGGTTAAGCTACTATATTAACAGCATGCATACTCCACTGATATTTGCATTCTTTTGTTTTTTTTCCTTACTCTTAGCTGGGAGTGCCGCGACTTATCATATTAAGTTATCTGGTGTTAACGTAAGGTTCTGTGTGTCGCTGGGATAGAGGGAGGGGGCACTCCTGGTCACCTGTTCATGGGTGGCGGCGTAGAAAAAAAAGGTCAGGTCAGGTCACCAAAAACAAAATATAGAAAAGGGCATGTGCGACACATGTTTTATGGGTCATTTTACTCATAGAATTCAATAGGCACACTCAATAAGTGATATGGACCACCTCTGGATGAATTTCAGGTCGAGGTCAGGTCAAGGTCAGGTCAAGTGAGGTCAAATTTTGAAGTTGGTTGTTAAGGCCTAAAAAGGTGTCTATCTGATGCAGTTTTTCACGGCGAATCGAATGGTGCTATTTTTGTTTCCGTACAAGGTCTAGAACGTCTAAAAAAATCATTTTTCAAATTTTTTGTGTGTCGTGACGTCATAAAATTTGAATAACTCCCACATTTTTGAACCAATTCTTCTAAAAATTGGTATGTAGGTGCACATAGATCACTTCTCTGACATATATTCCGTTTTTTTCGATACACTCAAAATTTTGGATTTTATAACTATTTTCCCAAAAAGTCAGTTTTTTGAAAAAATTTGGGCCAAAATCCAAAATTTTCAAAAAACCGAGACAGCCATTTGATAGACAAAGTAGAACCACGTATAACCTTTTTTGTTACGTCTTGATTCCTTTAAAAATGAAGATGTTAGCGGCGTTTGAAATTTTGCCGTTTTTGAGGCGAAAATGGCGAACATGACGTCACTAAAACGTCAATTTCTCAAAAAGTTTCCGACGGATTTCGCTCAAATTTTCAGGGAACGTGTCAAATTGATGTATGATAAGGTATTGAAAGTTTGGCGTTGCTGGCGTAACGCGTTTAGAAGTTATTGGCGAAAAACGGGAGGGGGGCAGATTCTGCCCCCCCAGCGGGGCGCGGGTTAAGCTCAGGAACACGATGGTGCTTTTTATATTGGTGTATGATGTCAAGTACGTATTGAAAAATTGATTTGACAAATTTATAATCATGAACTTTTTGTTATAATGCGCATAACTTGGCTATTTTTGAAGATATCTGGCTACAACTTGCTAGAAGGAATCATAAGCATGTGTTCCATCACATACCTACCTATGTTCCATTTTTCGAAAGGTAAAAACTTGTTGAAAAATAATAAAATATAAATTTTGAAATATGAATTATGAATGTAATGTATGAATAATTTTTAAAACTTTCAAAAAATTCAATAATCCGAGATAGCAGTTTGATAGCGCAGCCCATTTTTTATCCTTTGGTGCAAATAAATTGGATCTAGCTTAAAGATTGAGCTCTTGAGAGCGATTGTCATGGTTCAATGTTTGCGTCAAAATCTGCCGAACATGACGTCACTCTGACGTTATTTTCGGTCGACCTATTTAAGCAACGGGTCATGCTATCCAACTCGGTAAAATACATACGCACCTGGGGGGGGGGGGGGGGGGTAACGACATCAGAAAACTGGACTGAACGGATGCATCAATATCATTCGATTTTTTAAGCTACAATTTTTTTGTGAGTTTACTTTACCCTACGAGTTAACCCGGCAGTTGCTGGTGTATTTCGCCACCCGCCGTTTGCTGAGAGGGGGGGGGGGGGGCGTGAAACGCCCCCAGCCGATAACTCGAGAAGGCGCAGCGAAATGCACGAGGCGGCAAACGAAAGAACGTGACGAGACGCTTCAGCTGAGTACCTTAAAGTTGAATTTTGAGGTCACAGGTCGGGTCAAGGTCAGGTCAAACACCTGAAATCGGGCCTTCAGTAGCATGGACTTAAGAACCTCGCAATGGGCGTCTCTCGTCATAAACTCTGTCAAAACGGTGCACAAGCCTTCATATAAGGCCTACAAGAGTGTCAGATCCATGTAAGGGTCAATCAATCAAGCAATCAAGGGTCAAGGTCAGGTCAACCAGGTAGGCACATATCCCGAAAAGCGAAATTGATATTCGCAGCCTGTGACACATGTTTTAGGAGTAATTTTCGGCGTAGAACACGAAGGTGACATTCATTTAATCATATGTGTACGTGTTTGGTTCAAAAAGTTCAGTTTAAGAAATTCATGTACTTATCGTGGTCGTGAAGAAGTCACGAGAAATTGCCAAAGTTCAGTTCAAGATTTTGGAAACTGCGGAACGATGATAAAAAATTGAAGATAGCCATTTGATTGTTCATGGTATTGGTAGTTTAATGGCGTTTACGGCATGTCTGTATCTTTACTCTGTGTTTTCATATGACTTTTCGAACATATGCCGTTTTTGGTCGAAAAATAAGAAATCCTGACGTCACTAAAACCTTGATAGGTATCTCAAAAGTTAACCAACCGATTTTTTTGAAACTTTGTCAAAATAAACTTCAATCAATTTCCTATAGGTACCCAAATTTTGGCGCGCCTGCAGCGCGCCGTTTTTATGCTATAGCGCAGCAAAAAAAGGTGGGGCGTTTAACGCCCCCCCCCCCCAGCAACTCGCGGGTTAAGTCACTGCACAGTGATGCAAATGGGGTTCAAGAGTGGCCATAAATACCAAAAAGTCAAGTTAACCAAACCGAGTAAATCGCTATATGGCTAACCAAAGAAATGTTTGGCGCATCTGAAATCACATAGTTTTCATATTTTTGTCAAAACCGGCCTCGTGTATGATTGTCAAAAGTCGTGACATTTTCTATGTCGTAAAATGACTGTCAGATACTTGCAAGTTCAAACGCCGCTAGCGTGAGTTCATTTAATACAAACTGTGAAAATTATACATGGTAATGATCCCTAAGGCCTGCTGCTTCTCATGCCGGGTCACAAAAAGCCGCATCTTTTTTTGGTTTGGCGGTGATCTGATCATTTTTCATCATGTTGCAGTCGCAGTTTTTTACTAAAAAATATTTGCTTTTGTTTCACCTACAGAAGTTTACACAGTGTGTGCCCGTTAGTGCACCATACCATAGCATTCCCTAACAATTTCTGAGTCACACCGTGAAAGAATTAAGGCGCTATCACAGGGCAGACCGGCGCTATTGAAGTTTTTGTCCGGCGCGGTCGGGTGTCACGGTCGGGGCGAATTGCTTTCACCGCGGATTGCAATTTCGACAGACGTTTAACTTTGACCTGCTATAAGTAGGTCAAATATTGACCTTAAGTCAAAAGTAATATGCTCACTCGCGAGATCATGTCAAGAGCAATCCGTTGGTTTTTGTCGCGAGGCGCTAAGACACTTCGTTTAGAAACAGCAGAGGGATGCACCGACGAACCCCCGCTGTGGCCGCCCGCCCGCGGCGCGGGCGCCCGGGCCGCCCACCGCGCCGCGGCACCCGACCGCAACAGACGAAAACTTTAGTAGCGCCGGTCAGCCCTGTGCTAGCGCCTTCATTCTTTCACAGTGCGGCTCAAAATGATTAGGGAATGCTATGGTATGGTGCACTAATGGGCACACACTGTGTAAACTGCTGTAGGTGAAACGAAAGCAATATTTTTAAATAAAAAACTTCGATTGCAACATGATGACAAATAGTTAGATCAACGCCAAACCAAAAGAGATACGGCTTTTTGTGACCCTGCATTAGAAGCAGCAGACTTTGGGGATCATTGCCACATATAATTTTTGCCATTTGTATGAAATGAACGCACACTAGCGGCGTTTGAAGTTGCGAGTATCTGACAGTCATTTTACGACATAGAAAATGTCACGACTTCTGACAATCATACACGAGGCCGGTTTTGACAAAAACATGAAAATCATGTTTTTCAGACACCCCAAACATTTGCCTGGCTGACCATATTACGATTTATTCGATTAGGTGAACTTGAAATTTGGGCCTTTCCGGTATTTATGGCCACTCGTGAACCCCATTTGCATCACTGTGCACTGGGACCTGATATTTGCAGCTCATGTGCTAATAGGATGAACGGTGTGGCACCAGCATCTAACGTTAGAGAAAAGTGCTGGCGGAACGAGGCTATTTATGCTTAGCTCTTTGCGCTTTGTTTTAAGTTTTGTTTGTTTGTTTGTTTGTTTTGTTGGGTTAGGCCCTTTCGGTCGTCAAGACCATTGCAGAGCCGGAAGGATGGTAGGAATTAGGGGGAGACATTGGTCTGGGCAGGCACCCTAGTGAGTCGCCGGGGCTGAGCCCGTCCAGAGGACAGGCCACCCAGCCCCAAGGCACTCACTGCACCCGGCTACGGGGTGCGCTCCCTCGGGAGCAGCGGTGCCGCTCCAAGGGAGCAGCCCGCATGAGATAAAGTTGCCTGTCCAGCCCGGAAGGGGGTTGCGGCGTGGAGGAAAAGGATTTCAGTATCCTGAGGATGGAAGCATGGAACGGTGTTGTTTTAAGTCGTTAACATCGCATTTTCAGTACCTATTTGCTGAACTTGAATTGAGCTGTGACGTTAAAAGAATATGACTTACAGAGTCGGTTCGTCGATTTTTTTTTCAAGATTCACTTGTCAACACTCAACCGACATCTGAATATTATCTATGTCGTTCGACAGAGCGAGCTACAACTAAACGAAACAAGTGCATATATTTTCTTTTCACACTAACATTACATGATATTATGCGCGTCCGGCGTCCCTCAAGATAAATGTTGAATCCAGTTAGTATATACGCACAAAGCATGACAAGCAAGTTAGGCAATACTCCCAGCTAGATCATTTTCATCAATTGCAGTTTCAATGGACATTCGCGTGATAAACAACAACATTATCCGGTACTCGCTGGAAGGGCTGGAATTCCATGTAACCGTATAATTGAGCACTTCCAAGTGGTGACACAGTCAAGAACATTGTGTGTAAACATCGTGAAAATATGATCCCTGGAATGACGTCTGGGTAGTATTTTCATAGTTGGACTATCTAGATATAATATCTATCTTAGCTGGCAAGACGCCGGAGTTGAGAACTCTGCCTGGCCCTGCAGACGTCTCGGCTGTGGCTGTATATACACTGTGGCACTAATATTCGCCTTCATCGCGATACACTGCTGACATCTTTTGTCCAGTGGTCGCAGCTACTGCAGCCTTCACCAGAACTGTTGTGTCATCTACCACCGGCCTGCAGTGGCGCTGTAGAGACGTCAATTTGTGTGGGCATTTGAGCACGAACGTTGTCATTTAGAGGGAAGTTTCTGGTTCATTCCGGTCTGATGAGAGCCCCTCAGAGGGTCCTCCTGAAAAACGACACAAATATCATTCGTCGAGGCAACGAGGGAATTGATGATAAGAGCTTCCTGAGGGACTGTGGAAACACTATTCGTCTATTCTCAGCAGGTTGCATGTCAAATAGTGTTACGTTGAGCACAGAGGCTGGGAAAGATCTCATGACCGATGTTTCGCCTCCCTAGACCTCTGCTTCGCCTGACCCCATATGTAGCCGTCCAGGCCAGGTCCTCAAAGGATGAGGAGGTTAGTTATGTCGGGTGTAAAACCTGGCTCATGTAACGGGCAACCGTCGCTAGATGGCATGGGGTTCGATGCTATAAACGAATAGTCATCAGAAGGTTCAGAACAAATGAGTCGGTAATTGGCGTTCAATTGTGATATTCACATACCATTAAAAACTAAGTTTAAGAATAACAACGTTTTCATATGGAGGTTCCATAACTTTTCCGAACCTGCTTCCCCTTTTCACCGACCGATCCATCCTCACAACGTACCGAGACTGGTGATTCGCTGATCGAGACTGGCGGAGTCTACGATTCGCTGCGGTCGACTGCGTGAGGCGTGCGCGTCTTGTCGCGTTGCTGGACGCGCAGGTAGACCTCCGGCGAGTAGCCTGGCGTGGGCACGAACCTCCCGGCAGCCCGCACCGCCTCCACCTGACCCTGGCGCACGCAGACGCGGCCGCGCGACACCACCCACTCGGCCACGCCGCGCACCGTCTGGCCCTCGAACACGTTGAAGTCACAGCGCTGGTGGTGCGTGCTGGCGGAGATGACGCGGCTCGTCTCGCCGTTCCAGACGATCAGGTCGGCGTCCGAACCCACGGCTATCACACCCTGGAAAGAGCCCGACACACAGAGCGGCAACAGTGAACAGATTACATAACATTTCGATAACACAGTAGCTATAGGTTTTCATTCTATCGTCGTGAATCTTCCCTGGCCAGCTCTTTTTTTCTATCTACGACTTTGTTGTCATGAAACTTATATTATTGCACTGTATCATTCATGCGAATATTTTCGACAGTATGGTCGGGAGCCGGGACCAAAGTGAGGACCGAATTTCGGTCAGGATCGCTTCACACACAACTGACCTTTCTGGGATAAATGTTGAATATCTTGGCGGCGCTCGTGCTGGTGACGGCGACAAAGCGCCTCGGGTCCATTTTGCCGGAGCAGACGCCCCTCTCCCAGATAATCGACATACGGTCTTCTACTCCGTTGACGCCGTTCGGGATCTTGGTAAAGTCACCCTTTCCCAGCGCCTTCTGCTCCGAGGTGAAGGTGCAATTGTCTGTGCCAGTGCACTGTAGGTCGTTGCTGAAATAGGTGCATGGCAAATATTTCACTATAAAGATAAGTACTATGATTAAAATTACAACCTGACAACCTGAATAAAAAATGAAAAAAAGAAATAAAACCCGATCGTCTTTCGCTCATCGTATCGCAAGTCTCGCAAAACGAAGTCACAATGAGAACGAAGGGGACCGAAGACGCTAGTGAGGTTGTTTCCACTTACTTAGCGAGCATGTCCATGTCCCCGATCGTCTTTCGCTCATCGTATCGCAAGTCTCGCAAAACGAAGTCACAATGAGAACGAAGGGGACCGAAGACGCTAGCGAGGTTGTTTCCACTTACTTAGCGAGCATGTCCATGAGGTAGGCAGGCGTGGAGGGATCGGGCCGCAGCGGCGGTCCCATGACATGAGCGGCTGCGTGTCTCCAGCACGTGCTCCAGTAGTGCGTGCCGTCCGTGCCCAGTCCGGCAGCGACCGGCTCGCCGTACACCACGTGACCCTGGCGCCGTTTGGCCGAGACCACGTCAGCGGCCGCGCGCGACATCACGTGCACGATGTAGAGCGGGCAGCCCACCTGGTGGCCAGCACACAGGCGCGGTTGGTGGCCTCGGCCTCCACCTCCTCGGGCCGGCAGAGCGCGTGACCCTCCGGACCGGTGATACCGGCCGCCAGCATCCGGTTACCCATCTGGACACACATAGCACGAAAACGTCACAAGACGCGAAATAAGACAGGACCAAACAAACCAAACGTCCGGAACGCTGGCGTACCCGAAGCCGCTTGGAGGACACCATGTCAACATGAGTATGGAGGCCCACACACGCACTCTTCCCATTCCCCCAGGTCCAAGTACGCACCTCTTTGATGACGTCTCCGTTTTCGGCATGAACCTGCGCCAGAGCACCGATCGCCTTGCACTGAGTGAAGGCCTTCAGCAAGTCCTCGTCCAGCAGCTGCCAAGTGTCCTTGTAGGCCATAAACATCTTGAAGGAGTTGACGCCCTTGTCTTTAACAAGCTCAGCCATTTCTTGTTTTACCTGAAAACACAAAGAGAAGAGCTCGAACATGCTACAATCGAACATGAACATGCTACAACTCGAACATGCCAAAGGACACTAGCCCCAGACAGAGCATAGACCACCACTGCATAAAACACTTATCGCTACGTAATTGCCATCAAATGATGCCAACCACTCTCTGAATTCCAGGGCTCGATCATCACCCATAGGCGTAGGAACAGGGGGGGGGGGGGGGGGCAGGTGGGCCACCCACTTTTCGAGGTGGGGGGGCCAACCATGTGTTTTGGCCCACCCACTTTTTACTCGAGGCCCCTCGTCTCGATTTGAGAGGACGTCGTCACCTTCCAGAATAAACAAACTCGGTAAAAATAAGTTCCACGAATCCCCACGCACGGACTCCAAGGGGCCGTGATGGATCCAAGGAGGCCCTCTGTTCATACTTGTCAGTCGAAGCCCCTGAGACTGATGGCCTGAGAGGCCCTAGTGGATCTGAGGAGGCCCCAATATCCACCACTGGTCTGGGGAGGCCCCTGACACTGGCGGTCTGGGAGGCCCCTCTATCCACACTAGTCAGAGGTCTGAGACTGGTGGTCTGGGAGGCCCCTCCATCCACACTAGTCAGAATAGGCCCCTGACACTGGCGGTCTAGCCGAGGCCCCCCTACCCTCACTAGTCAGAGGAGGCCCCTCTATCCTCAATAGTCAGAAGAGGCCTATCCATCTACACTGTAGTCAGAGGAGGCCCCTGAGACTGATGACCTGAGAGGCCCTTATAATCACACCAGGCAGAAGAGGCCCCTGAGACTGATGGTATGAGAGGCCCTCATATTCACACCAGTCAGAAGAGGCCCCGAGGCTGATGGCTGTGAGGCCCTTCTGTTCATATAACTGGCCACTGGAGGCCCCTGAAACCGGTGGTCTGGGAGGGCCCTCTATCCAAACTAGTCAGAAGAGGCCCCTGAGACCGATGGTCTGAGAGGCTCTTATATTCATACTGGCCACAAGAGGCCCCTGAGACTGATAGTCAGAGAGGTCCACTCCTAATGAATCTGAGGGGGCCCTCTATCCACATTTACACTTTTCGAGGGAGGCCCCCGAGACTGATTGTCTGAGAGGCCCTTTTATTTATACTGTCCACAGGAGCCCCCTGAGATTTATGGTCTAAGAGGCTCTTCTATTTATACTAACCAGAAGAGGCCCCTAGGACTGATGGTCTAACAGGCCCTTCTATTTATACTAGCCAGAGGAGGCCCATGATACTGATTGTCTGAGAGGCCCTTCTATTCAAACTAGGCAGATGAGGCCCCTGAGAATGATAGTCCGAAGAGCCATGCGGCGGCAACTGGCCGTGGCCATATTTCGGCTCGGTAGGGCCCCACAGAGCTCACGAGAGCACCTCAAGGGCTCCTAAGTAGACACGCTTATCCTCATAAGGGTGCCACGCCGGCTTCTGAAGGCTCCTTGTAAGCATCTAAAGGGCCCTTTCCGGCCTCTAACGGCCTCACCCGCCTGTGATGGCTCCACACCAGTGTTAATGAGCGCCACACAGCGGCGCCTTTGAGGGTCATACTAGTGTCTCTTAGGGCCCTATATCGGTGGCTCTGGGGGCCCCACACCGGCGCCTCTGTGGGCCACCACACCTGTGTATCTCAAGGCTCTATAGGTATATCTGAAGGACCCACACCGACACCTCTGAGGGTCCCACACCAGTATCTCGGAGCTCTGAAGGCCCCACACCGGTGACTCTGAGGACTCACCGGCTCCTGAGAGCACCATGTTGATGTCTAACGGCTCCACAAGGCCACTGAAGGCACCACACAAGCTCTCACTGAGCTCTAATGTCCATGTACCGGCCTCTGAGGGATTTAAGCCAGCGCATTCATAGCTCCACACCAGCAATTGTAAGGGCTTCACACTGAAGTATCTGAGGGTTCCACACCGGTGTCTCTAAGGGCCACATACCGGCATCTCTGAGGGCCCCATAACGGCGTCTCCGAGGGTCCACATCTGGCGGGCACCCATCAGCGACTGTAGGTCCCACACTGTCGACTCCGAGAGCCCCATCTGCGTCTGGGAGCAACATGCCGTCTCTAAGAACCACAGCGGCCCCTCCGTCGAAAGATGGGCGTCTGCATGCCAAATGGGAGCGGTTCTGAGACAGTAGGGCACCTACGTGCAATAGAGGGGCGCCTATGAAGCCCATAGGGGCGCCTCAATGCGAAAGAGGGGTGCCTCTGAGGCCTACATATATGGGCGTCCACATGCAATAGAGGTCTGCGACTGCAATTGATCAATGCCATGGGGGTGCATTCATAAGAAACAGGGGCGCCGGCATGGCAAAGAGAGGCGCCTTCAAGTGTCCATAAAAGAGAGACGCCTATGATAAGCGCACATTGTATGCGACAACGGGGCGACTGTGGGACATAGGGATGTCTCTGATGACTATACATAGGGCGCTTATATGCCAAAGAGGGCGCCTATGAAGCTAATGGGGGCACCTGGGAAACGAGGAAGACATTTGCGTAAGGGTTTTCAGGGGTCATGCGCCGTTTGCGGCAAATAGATTCTAAAAAAATCGGAGGGGAATAAGTTTTAAAAATGGTGCGGACTTTCGGCACTGTTCGCTTAAGCGGTTACGCCCCTGGGTACATCTGCCCGATCTCAGAAGCTAGATTTGGAGGTCATACTTGAAAGCAGCCAGCAGGACGAGGCAAAAGTTGGAGGCCCCTGAAAAAAGGAGGCCCCCTGGAAAATGAGGCCTCTTGACAGGGTGGCCCACCCACTTTTCATGACGTTCCTACGCCCGTGTCATCACCAGTCTTTCCATGATGCCGCCCCATTCTCCAACTTCCATGGCTACCCGAAATTGCCCAGCATCACCTCCACTGACCGCGGGAAGCGATCCATCACTCTCAGTCCCTCATGCTTGGAACCACGCTTCCTCGCCTCCTCTTCCGCACTGGGGAACGTCGCTGAGACGTCACGTTGCCTTCCCTTCCGTGACTCACTACGGCGAACGACGTCGCTCACCTGTTCCGACCACCAGGTGACGCCCACGTGGAAGCCGTAGTCACAGCAGACCTTTTCGTCTGCCCAGTTGCGCCACTTGCTGTAGGCGTCCAGCAGCGACTCGCCTCGCTGCGGCAGCACGAAGTCGATGATCATGGTGGTGCCTCCGGCCAGCGCGGCGCGCGTGCCCCAGTAGAAGTCGTCGATCGCTGCGGTGCCATGAACGGCAGCTGCATGTGCGTGTGCGTGTCGATGCCGCCTGCGGAGAAAGGGGAGATGCAGGTCATTGATGACATCTTATTGTGACTCTCATCAATATTCTCAAGTGATTTTGTGAAATATTCATGGAGAGACGTTTTGCCTCGGATGTATTCGCAGGAACAACTCATATGAAGGTGACTTCACGTCGTATGGAATGTTTTTCCGAATGCGTCCTTATAATGAAGTGTTTCTCAGATCTCGTACTCCCAGATAGTGTTTCTTCGAATTCAGCAAAAATGTTCCTGCAGTGACAAACCGAGTAGCATTCGCGACCACGCCAGTCGCCGGGGCTCCATAAAGACGATGCGCTGCAGCGGCATGGTTTACTGCTGCTCAGAATGCTAGACGATAGCTCTTAGCTTTTAGCCCTCTAAGCTTAGCTCATAGCGAGAGTTCTCTTACCGGGCATGACGTATTTGCCGGCAGCATCGATGACGAAGGCCCCCTCCGGCACCGCCAGGTCCGGTCCCACCGCCCTGAGGAACGAGCGCCACTGTCAACGCATGGACAAGGCGACGTCAACACAGCCGTTCACCTGAGGTCCGCACTCCGGTCCCACCGCCCTGAGGAACGAGCGCCACTGTCAACGCATGGACAAGGCGACGTCAACACAGCCGTTCACCTGAGAGCCGGACTCCGGTCCCACCGCCCTGAGGAACGATCGCCAGTGTCAACGCATGGACAAGGCGACGTCAACACAGCCGTTCACCTGAGGTCCGGACTCCGGTCCCAACGCCCTGAGGAACGATCGCCAGTGTCAACGCATGGACAAGGCGACGTCAACACAGCCGTTCACCTGAGAGCCGAAAAAAGAGGGTTTGATATGTATTCAATATCAACGTCCTTTGTTCAATTATACCGCCCTTCAAGCACAGTTTACTTAAAATGCATATTAAATTTATAACTTTGGACTCCAACGTTTGCCATAGAACCGGAATTGTGCGATCGGAGGGTAGAGGGCAGAGTAACGCAACAAGCTTCGCTTTGCGTGGGCTCTGTCCTTGTGAATCCTTCCATTCAAAAGATTCGGGCTAAATTTATTAAAAAAAACCTAAACCACGCAAATTTAGTAAGCACATAACCTGCACGGATAACCTGTACTCACTGAATGATGCCTTTGTCGACAAAGACATCTGCGTCGAATATCCGGTCATCGTTGACCACTTTTCCACCACGAATCAACAACGGACCCTGTGGACAAATGAGAGATTAAATAACAAATCGTGTAGGATATTATATAACCCGGCAATACCAAGGCAGTTTAGACGGACACCGAAGCAAGAAGGGATGGACAGCTGTGGCGTTTATGAGCCCGACTACGCGGCGATATAGCTGTAGGCGCTATAGGTTTGGACGTGTTTCTCGTTCATGTGTTACTTGTGTTTAATCCCTCTTTACATAAGTTAAACTAAGGACCATTTACTTAGTGCTCACCAAAACCGCTTCCGTTTTGCAATTAATTTAGTATTGACCCACGCCGTTATGCTCGTGCGTGAGGGGAGCTTTTAACGCCCCCTTAGTTAAGAGAAACTTTAGGTTCCGCTTTCGTACCTACAAGTTGAGACTGCAGCCCTAAGTTATCTCAGGTCCGGTCGTCGGGTCACGTTAAGTGACCTCATTTCAAGAAAAACTTCACGCACATCCTAGCTACGACCACTTAACGTGACAGGTTAAGTGGTGATAGGTTAACGTGACAGGTTGCCTCAAAGATTATTTCTTTTTCGGTAGGTAGCGTTTACCCAGACCTATAAGTCTAGTAAAGACATCTTCAAAAGTCAGTGGGCGAACACATGCAAGACAGTGCTTTTTTGGTACGAATGTAATTCTAAGCGCCGCGGGGACACTAAACGAAACGTCAAATCGATGGAAACGCATTTAACCCGCGCCCCGTAGGGCTACCGGCGGACCCTACCACCCGCGTAGGGGGGGGGGGGGGCGTTTCGCCCCCCCCTAAGATCTCGGAAAGTTACCGGCCGATTTTCAAAATTCAAACGGCGTTCGATAGCCCCACCCGTAACTACCTTGTGACCAAATTTCATTGACCTAGGTCAAACCGATGACGTCACAGGTCAGGTCAAAGGTCAGATTTTCACCGTTCACAGGCAATTCAAGAAATGTGCTGTGAAAGCGAGTAAATTGGTAATTTATTGAAAACCATCGATGGTACATTGTTCGTCAAACACATACTTTGCTATCTGAGGTCACTGATACCAGGTCAGGTCACAGCGAGGTCAGGTCACCGGGGGTCACAATATGAATGTGTCGTGTGATACATGTTTTATGGTTCATTTTACATGACAAATGCGATTATGTGGGTTAGGCAGCCTTTGGGGCCAGCCTAGGTCACGTTTTTGTGAAGGTCAGGTCAAGGTCAGGTCAAATTAGGTCAAATTTCAAAGTTGATATTTTTGCATAAAATGGGTATCGATTCGATGCAGCTCGTCACGGCGAGTCTAATGGTGGTCTTCGTTTTGCTCTACGAGTTCTAGAATTGCCAAAAATTGAGTTTGAAAATTTGACGTCATCATTTTTGAACAGTTTTTTCGCTATAACTTGGCCAAAAAACGAGGTATCGATCTGAAATTTGGTATGTAGATAGAAGACGGTAGGCACTATCACATATATTCCGGTTTTTTCGAAACTCAAAAAACTTTTTGGATTTTTTGGCGAATATATCCAAAAAATGCTTTTTTGATTTTTGGGGGTCAAAACTAAAAAATTTCAAAAATTCGAGATAGCAGTTTTGTAGCCCTGTTAATTCTACACCTTTTATGTCTTGATCATTTTTCTGTATCTTCAAAGCTGTAGTCCTGACAGGTCTTCTCGCGAAGGTCTTTTTTCGGTCGAAAATGACAGAACATGACGTCACTCTGACGTCATTTGTGGCCAACCTATCATAGCCTCTGGAAAATTTTTGGTCACAATGTGTAAAATTGATGCCCGGAGGGGTCCTGAAAGTTTCGTGGCGATATCTCCAGCCGTTTAGGAGATATCGACCGAAAAGGACAGGGGGGCCGTTTCGGCCCCCCCCTACGGGGCGCGGGTTAATATGCCATCGCAATGACCAGGATTGATTCGTAAGCAGCATGACTTTTCAGGTCAGGTCATAACCCTTATGTGGAGGCAAATTTATGCGTTGATCTTGTAAGGTCAAGTAACTATTAATTGTTCGACGCTTTTAAACAAGACAAACACATTAGAAGTGCAATACAATCTGAATCCAAGGCCAAGGCAGAAAAATGTTTCTATGGAAACGTTTATTTTGGCGGTGTTCCCTGTACTTTGGAGCCCAAACCACTGTCCAGAGGTCAAATTTCAAGACCTTTAGTGAAAGAACTTAAAAGGAGCTATCGAATACATATCGCTCAATGTTATAGCCTCATTGGTTTACACTGGGCCCATTTGGCCATTTTATCAAAAACCTAAAAATAGTGAAGTCTTGTCTTTTAATTAATCCGACAACCAGGAAATGATTTTATAAGCGCTATCTAATGCTTTCTCAGCGATGCCTTAGCAGTTTATTAGTTTGCAAGTGTCTGAAATTTGTCAATTTGACTGAAAGCGTCACAATTGTGAAAACTTGACGTGGCATATAGGAGCCGAGTGAGGGGCAGGCGATCCCTGCACCATCGGATCAAACGTGTCACTTGTTACGCTCGGACCGCCGCCCTGACACGGGCTAAGTTTGAGGTCCACTGCACTGGTTCGGAAGGCCCTGTCGCGGGTACGACCAATTGCTGGAACACCCAAGGTCAGTTCGAGCCCGCCTCGTACCCCGCTTCTGGCACGACGCCAGCAGAGAACCAAGCCGAACGCCCTCTCTGCACAGCTTTCACGGTCTGCTATCGAGCTGTGTCTTTTAGCATGACACCTCAGGGGCTTTAGAGGGAGTGGAGGCAGTTTTGATGGCTCTTTTGGAAGTACTTACGCCCTCTCCATCTACAACCATCTGTTTTAGGGCATCGTCCCGTCTAACACCTGTGGGCTGTGGGCATGTTTGCTGTAGGTACACCTGTGAGCGACGTGCGTATTTCCGTTCCTGAGTGGAAAAAATGCCAAAGTTGTTTCCCAGCGATTAGATGTCGCTTGAGCTGACATACTTCGGTCGTCAAGTATTTGTGACTTTTTGTGCCTCTATATAATAATAATTAATGGTACTTAAGGACCTTCTGAACCCCTCATCCTCCGCCCTTAAACTCCTCGCAGGGGCAGGGGAATGGGACATTCGTGGGAAGGCCCTGTCGGTGGCTCTGAGGTGTTAGGTTGGTGGGCGGCAGCCATCCCTAGGTCTGTTTATTTAAAGACATGACCTTTCACCACGGCGGAACACGTCGAGTCGGGCCACGTCTCCTTTGTCTCCTCTCCGCCTTTCCTTTCGTCCGCTTACTTTGCTTCCTCGCCGTTTCACCTTCTACCGTTCCCTGGCCCTGCCGTCATATTCGTGCGCATCGTTAACACTCATCGTCTATTTATTTTGCGCCTTCGCCTACCTCAATAAAAACTCGAAACTGTGCAGCTGTGGGGCAGCCAGATTTTTTTTTATCGCTGGCATAGAGCTAGCTGCCATCGGAGAACGGAGCAATGTCCTCTTATATTCGACCCAGCCGGGTGAGGCAATAATTTCCATTTTACCGTTCGATTTTAGAAAATAAAGCGCACAAATGAATGCATTAAAAACCTACTTCAATATGCATTCCAGTAACACCTCGCTCTTGGATAGGTAGGTAGGTACAGCATAACTGGTCTTCCAAATCGAACTCCGAACTTAATTGTATACGATCCGTCAAAGCCTTTGTTATTTCATTCTATCGAATCACTGACAAGAGAGATAGGCAGCTTAATGAACGAACAAACGAACGGGCAGTTGAACGACACACCAACCGATTCAGACTCGTGGATGCTTTCACACTATCATAGCACGGTCAACACACTTGAACTTGTGAATCTACAGGTCAATTGCCGTTTCATGTATCAGTCACAGCTGTCCCAACCAGACATCAGGGCGGCGCTCCTGACTCACCTGATCAGTCATATTGTCAGCTCTCGGAGACAGTCAGACCCGTCCTGCACTGCTGGCCGGCGCTGGTGGAGAGGCGGCGGCGAACGGACGGACAGCGGTTCGGCTCGCGCGGCCCCGCCTCCCAGCAGGCGCGCTACGGTCAACGCACCGGCGCGCTGCGCTACAGGCCGCTCGGCGCTCGGGCAGACATACAGCTTTTGCCGACCCGCGGCGCGGTGGTTCGGTGGAGGCCGCGGCTCTCGCGCCTGTGGAGGCCGTCGTTCGGGGCTGTGTGGTGCGCACAACTGTTCGATGAGGCTCAGTGCCCGCTAGGCCTCAATATCCGTCCGTGGCAGCAGACACATCCTGTGCTCTGTGCACTGCGGACGCCAATGACGGCCGAACCGTTGCAGGCTCCATTACCGTTTTTTTCATTGTATAGTTTTAAAATATTGACAAAAATGTGCAAATTATATAATAGAGTGACGACACGTGTTTTAATTTGTGTCATCAATACGTGGCTGTGATGTTATTTTTCCATCCACCGACGACATTATCGGAAAAGCGTACGGTGCAAAAGGACAAAAGCCTAACTCGCTAACGCAATGGTCAAAAATTGACCCCGTTGCTGTAAAGCACCGCATCGATTGTCTCATTTCATGATGCTTGACCTCATACGTTATTAACGTGATTGGTTGGCGATAGTAAAATTATTCTTAGTTTTTTTTTTTCAAATCCGTAAGTGTAGGAATCACTGTAAAAATGTTGGTCTTTGATTACATCCCTTCTGGAACCGACCGAAGTGAGATGCATTTCTATTTTTGTTTTCGGTAATCGGCACGAAAAGTGTGTGATGTAGGTAATTCATTAATTCGTATGTCTTGACGTTTTTAGCTTGTCACGGCTAAGCCATTAAATTTTTGTGTCTTATCGGCCCAATTATCGACGCATACCTATGTAGTGAATATCAAAACTGACCATTTCTTCAGTTGCTAGAAGAGAGAGAGAAAAACATTCGCAGTCATTTCGTGGCCGCGGTGTGCATAGTTTTTTTTTTTACGTTTTGCAAACGTCTAAAGAATGGATGCGAGTTCTATTTTATCATTCATCTCTCATGCTATGTAATTTGTGTAGGATATCATTGACTGGTGCTAATGTCTATTGGCCACGCGGTACAGACTGTTGCCCGTGTCCGCACAGATCTACAACCCATGCCAACTTTCCATGATAATTGAAAACTAGCTGAGTGACCCAACAGCGGCCAGCATCGGGACACACCAGCTTTACCCATCCTGCAAAGTCGTACCAGTTGCCGGTTCCACACCAACCCAAAGACTCTTAACATACACATACATACAGTGTATTGCATCAGTCAAACGGAGTGCCTCCGCTTCGCTCGCCACGCCGATAAATTAACAAAACTCAGATCTCTGGGGGGCGTGGTGGCTGCCGGCCGCAGCGGCAGAGCGCCCGCGGCCGCTACTCGGTACCCGATATCAGTGACGTCATCAGGGGGCCGGTCACGTATAAAAGTAACAAACTTTGGTTGGCTGCACGGTGCACGTATCAGTGAATCTGCAGCCTGCGACGTCCAGTCTCTACCGCTCGGTGAGGCGGTTAGTGGCATGTGCGGGCCGCCGATCAGACTAGTCTGTCCTTGTCTGTGGCCACCGAACAGACTGCTCTGGTCTGACAATGCAATAATCCGTCCTGATCTGACACTCTGAAACAGTCTGTCATGATCTAACACTGCGAACAGCCTGTCCTGATGTGGCGCCACAGACCAATATGCCTTTTTCCGAGAGACAGTCTCAGTCTCAGGCTGCCCATGCCCGGCTGACTGCCGTCTCGGCGTTATCCCGCAGCTCTGCCGAACAAACACTGCAGCGCTGCACGTCACACGTTGGATATCTTCGAGTCGGGGATGATGGGCCAGTTGTCGTTGTGTTTGACGGTGACGGCCGAGCCCGGGGTACTGGGCCGAGTGAAGAGCGCCGGCGCCGGCGGCTGGCGGTGCGCCGGCGCCACCTGCTGCTGCTGCCGGCTCAGTGACGTGCTGGCCGTGTTGTTGCTGGGCCCGGTGCTGCTGTGTTGCGAGTGCTGCGAGCCGCCCGCAGAGCTGCGGTGCGGGGCCGTCACCTCGGGCATGGCGCGCCAGGTGCGCAGCCGCACGTGCAGCTCGCTGAACGTCGGCCGTCGGTGGGCCGTCTCGTTCCAGCACTCGACCATGAGCGCGTATATGATGGAGGGGCAGTCCTCGGGACAGGGGAGCAGCCGGTGGCAGCGGACCATCTCCATCACCTCAGCGTTTGTGTAGCCGTAGAAGGGCTGAAACAGGACAGTGTGAGTCAGTCTCGAGCCTACACGCCCGCCCCACAAGGTAATTCCACTCATCGATTATGTGGTACACACACGTGGCCGTGGGTGGGGGTGGGGGTGGGGGGGGGGATGACACAGATTGAGGAACCCTGCAATAGCCGTTTTCACTACGGGCTATCCGGCGAATGCACCTGAGTTGACCAAATCAGCACCTAATCTCTTTTACAGCGAATATCTTAATTTTATGAATTTATTTCAGTGTTTTAATCGATGATATTCTCTGAAAATATGGCAAAGCAGGCATATACGCAATGAGCGCAACCCTGGCTGATAGCTACTAAGAGATACACTGAACCTAATTTGACCATATCTGCACCTAATCTGCACCAAATGTGCACCAAATGTGTACCAGATGGCCGTCGTGAAAACGGCTATTGTATTTGCTCTGAAACCTTTCCACCCGTGCTCTCGGAGCCACCGTCGGGTATAGTGCGGAATGTCCACAGGACGATCGACCTCCAGGCCATAGCTCCCTGAATGACTGACCGTGGCTGAACATGAATATCTGAATGCCTGAACGTCACTTAACATCTCCCATACTGACCTGCAGACCCTGGCTGAATATTTTCCAGACCGATTGACCTGCACACCCAGGCCGACTGCAGCCTGCAGGCCGTAGCTGAATATCTCCCTCATTGACCCGTGGGCCGTAATTAAAGATCTCCCGCACCCACTGACTGAGTGCTGTAACTAAACTCTCACTGACCTGCAGGTCGTAGCTGAATGTCTCCCACACTGACCTGCAGGCCGTAGCTGAATATCTCCCAGAGCAGCACGCCGAAGCTCCAGACGTCGGACTCGGTGGTGAACTTGCCGTACATGATGCTCTCCACCGGCATCCAGCGCACGGGAAGCAGCGCCTTGCTCTGCACACTGCTCACAAAAGCACAGAGACGGCGCGTGAAAGGCGGTTAACGAGAAACCGTTTCAGTTTATATTGCTTTCAGGTGGTGAATGTCTTTAAATCAAAACGCGCTCGTCTGTCAAGAATTGCATATCTTTTCAGGTAAAACCTAGAAACATAGGTTTCATTACAATAAGTGTAGATTTATGTAGGTAGTAGAAATTACAATTGTTATTATTATAATTATTATTATAGAAACTAAATGTAGGAAAATTACATAATAAAAGCAATGCTGTCCCGTATAATCGATTAATTGAGCTACAGCATAGCCAGTTAGCTTCAAAGAAAGATGCTTTCAGGATTGAATTATTTGCTCAGATTTTCATTTACTTATCCATCTCTGTGTTTGAATCATGTCCGTCATTGTCTACAAACACTCGACAGAGAGCTGTCAACGTACTGAGATTTCACTAACCGGTAGTAATCGGATGCGTAGATGTCGCGCGCCAGGCCCAGGTCGGATATTTTCACCGTCAGATTGTCACCGACCAGACAGTTGCGCGCCGCCAAATCTCTATGTACATAATGATGACTAGCTAAAAACTCCATCCCTGGAATGACAGCGGAGATTAGGGTCAGCTGCCAATCGTGGCTTTAAAGTGTGTCAAAACAGCAGGCTAAGCTCGACATAAACCCCGCCTACCGGCATTATTTAATGACAGCAAGAATGGGATAATACCTATTCAGCGAACGGAGGAAAACACCGCATCTTAAAATTATAAAACGTCGTTTAGAATTCGATGAAGTCTCATTTACCTATACTTTTCAAAGGAAAGTGTATCAAAGCGTAACCAGCAAATGAACAGTAAATTAAACAGCAAATTATTGCTATGAACATATTGCATATTACATATATGAACAGCACGGAATATATACATAGTCTAACGACAGACTATATATTACGTGTCATTAGCCATATTACAATACGACATTTGCAAACAAATTACATACATACTATGTAGTGCAACAGGACTCCCCGACAATACCGCATACGGTTTGTGGACTAGGAGGCGCACACACCTGCGGCCACCTGGATGGCTATCACCATCAGCTGCTCCACGGAGATCATCACGCCGTCGCTGCTGCAGCCGGAGACGTCCGAACGCGGCGAGTGCAGCGTCAGGAACTCGTGCAGGTCGCCCTGGCTGCTGTGCTCAAATAGCATGCAGCGCGGCGTGTTGCGCAGCACCACGCCCACCAGACAGACCAGGTTCGGGTGCTGCAGGTCCGTCATCAGCTCTGCCTCGCGCGCGAAGTCGTGCTGCGTCTTCTGGCCGGCGCCCTCCTTCAGAGTTTTGATGGCGACGGGCATGACGCCGCCGTCGCCGTGGTAGCCGACTATCTCACCCCGAAATACTTTCCCTGTGGAAACGACAGTGGTGTCAAACACTACGTGTCAGGGATGGCAAATATAATACGATGTTAAGAAACGAGCGTGATTAATTAAAAACGAAGAGTGAGTGGCAAATACTCGTAGGGCCACTATACACTCAGGTTCACTGAGCTTCAACAATGCCATGTACACTGACTGCGACTCACCGAACGACTGCGACTCACCGAACGCTCCCTCTCCGAGCTCCTCGAGGAAGCGGACCTTGTGGATGGGGATCTCCCTGGCTCTCTGGCGGGGCAGCAGTGCGCTCATCTCCACGGGCGCCGTCGCTGCCGTCTGCTTCAGCCCGTAGCCGGGCGATGTGGCTCGGCTGCGTACCCTCCGGCAGAAGCAGCAGCCCAGCACAACCACGATACAGAGCGCCAGAAACGCCACACTGCTCCGGCAGAGACGGTACGGGCGCAGGGGTCAGATGGATCAACAACGGGGCAAGTGCGTATATGAACACGCATACTCAATGACACACTGAGACCGACATTAGGTGTACCGAAGCATTGGAAAAGGTGTTCGCATTAAACCGTGAAAGCCACCTACTGTTATACCGACAATCTTACACATTCAGCCTCAAACAGTTGAGAGTAAACGGTGCTGCCCCCTTCCTACCATTCCAACACTCAACTACCCTTAGCGTCCGCTGCAACGGCTCGTCGGGCGTCCACCAGCCCCAGAACTCACTCACTCCCGCGTCTCACCTGGGTACGACGATGTACCAGATGAGCGGGTCGGAGCAGGCCGGCACGGCGCACCGCTCCCTGCCTCCCTGCTCGCCGGCAGTGAAGCACCACGGCTCTGTCTCCAGGTTGTCCCAGTTGCGACAGAACGAGTGGCCGCCAAGCAGCGCCGGCTGCCGCTCGGCCAGCGTCCTATACTGCATCTGCTCGCTCCATGGCCGACACAGACGGCCCGAGGCGGCGCGCTGGGCGGTGCCCGCGTACCCCGTGCCGTCCTCTGTGTAGCACGTGAGCTCCGGCTGGACGGGCACCACGCGCGCCAGGCCGAGGCGCACGCAGTCGGACGCCTCCGCCGATCCCACGGCTGGTAGGTCGTCACAGATGGGCAGGTGGATCTTCAGACCGATCCGAGGGTGTTTGAGGGCCTCAGTGTACTCCTTGCTGCAGTGATACTCCTTGATAAGCTCACATTCGTCCCGGCAGATCTGCTGCGCTCTCGCTGGCTGTCGGCTAGCGTCACACGGAGGGAACGCCGCCAGACATACAGTCTGAACGGCGTGGTCGCCACACGACTGGAACGACAGGGGGCGCCGGGGTAGTGCGTCAGAACGACAGGCAGCGCCACAGTATCACGTAAGACCGACAGATAGCGCCGAGCGCCACCGTACCGCGTAAGCGATCAGTTCTGTTGTTGGCCAGAGACGTGAACAGCAAGTTTAATAATCCGTCCCCAACGAAACGTTTGGGGTCTACTCGACGTGACAAGCACCATTTCTAGAGTTACAAGTAGTTACAAAGAACCATTTAGGATCGTGAGTTATAGTAGTATGGTGGTACAAAATTGTCTAAGCGAGACGAACCAGTGATTACGAGTAGGACCGGGTTCAGTGATTAGGCCAGAGGGCGGCAGAACGGTCGAGCGGTGCGCCCCTACCTCTGAGAGGTCGGGGAACATCTCGATGAGCCCGAGCGCGTCCACCAGGCGCTGCTCCATGCGCGCCTGGGTGTCGGCGTCGGCCACGAACACAGTCCGGTTACGGAGGTGTCGCGCGCACGCGGCGCCCCGGTACGGCTGACAAGTGCCGCTCAGCTGCCGGGGGTTGTCGGGTGACTTCGGCCAGTGTGACGGGTCCAAAACGGGCACCAGTTGGTCACTACCGCCGTCTGCGCCCGTCAGAAGACCCTCCAGACCGCCAAGACCGTCCTCTGAAGGCACGGAGCTGCTGCAGACACAGACAACACGTCAGAATCTGTGATACACAGACACCTGTCATATATAGGCACGCTTAGCATTCACCAGACTTGGACACATCCTATACAGAAACAGGCAGGCTACCGACGAGTACATTGGCAAACGCTACAACGACTGCTGTTACACTACCCCATTATATTATTTATCGCAGTCAGCACTTTGGCTTACGACACCAAGCTATTTCTCAAATCAAAGAGCAAAATGACCATCCGTTAACCATTAACCAGGTCACACTCACTCAATCTGCGGTGTAAGTGACGGAAAGTCAAAGATGGGTTTCGACGGCGGGAAGGCCGGCACATCCATTCCCTCCAATGGGTCACCTGCAATCAGGTCAGGTCAACCCAGCTCAAGTCAGGTCAGCTCAGGTCAGGTCAGGTCAAATCAGGTTACATCAGGTCAGGGTAGTGACAAGGACTCAACAGAGCTATGGGACAGTCTTCCCCAAACAATGCAACAATCAAACGTCAAAAACATTGTCTTCAAGAAAATGTCACCAGAAGAATACAAACTATCTTTCCTCAAAATTTGCTCGGAGGAACAGCCGCTACGCATCCGGTAGTAGTTGGGATTGGACCGCCGCTAAGATAAATTCCTAGTTGGCTGCCGTCTGACTATGCTGTCACATAAGCTGACTGGCGCCTGCATTCAATCATGCACAGATACGAGAACGTTTATTATTCAGCTTCACTAGTTTGACATTAGTAGGCCTGACGCTCCTTTTATCCACCCCATTGTTTAAAATGGCTCCAGGCTAAGAATACTCGTATAGCCATGATTCATTGATGCGTCTCATGCTGTTTTATAAATAATGAATAAACAATTCCACACGTCGCTCTACAGCCTCAGTCGTGACTGTCCCCTTTGTTACTCACGGTGCCTGGAGGGCTGTCGACCGTCCTCTCCCCGGTTGACCAGCACTATAGCCGTGCTCTGGGCGCGGTGGACCCCGTTGGACGCCTGACACCGGTAGTAGCCCGTGTCGTGGGTGTCCACGGCGCCGATCCTCAGCCTCATCCGCCAGCCGTGGCGCGTCTTGTAGGCCTTCCGCATCTGCGCCTCGCCCCGCTCCAGCGGCGCCTCGTTGCGGAACCAGGTAAACTTGTTGGGCGGCGGGTCACCAGTGAACTCGCACCGCAGCTTGAGCGTGTCGCCGGCGATGAGCGTGAGGTTCTGCAGCGGCTTGAGCAGCCGGATGGTCCTCTCGCCCTCCTCCGAGCTGCCGGAGATCGCAGATGTCAGAGGGAGCTTCGAGAGGACAGACTCCGAGGTCAGGGGGAGCTTCTGTAGGTCAGGGGACAGGGGAGCTGTCGTAAGTCAACTACCGGAGGGATCTGTTGGAAGGCAGAGGCTCAGAGGCCATAGGGACTTTAAGATGTCAAGAGTTATAAAGACTGACTGGAGGTTAGAAGAAGTGGTCGGAGGTCACAGAGGTCAGAAATGATGACAGCAGGTAAAAAAAGTCAGCTAGAGTTTTCAGAGGTCAGATACGACAAGTGCTAATCAAATGAATAAAACAGAAGTCAGAGGAGCATACCCCGGATGGTCACTGGTCAGACCCAGGCCGCGGCCATCCCTTCCCGTCTAATTGTTCCTCAGAAGTAAAACCTCAGCCAATGCACGAGGACGAAGGGAGAAGATAAGTTTGTAAAACGGCCGCTGAAATCATATAATTTTCGCTTGGGGATTAGTTTTGAATGTTCAAAACAATGCGATCATCCAGTAGGATTTACCAATACCAATTAAAGCTATAATCATTGCCTTACCTGCTATTGGTGGGCAGGTCATCGTACGCGTCATAGTCGTCATATTCTACCGGTTCTTTGGGCCGTTTGCCGCCGTCTTGGCTGATCACTGAAACAAAAGGAAAAGAAAGCCATGAGTACGACAAAGATCACATACATACTCCAACGTTCATACAGAGCAACAGAACGGCCTAGTTGCATCCGTGCAACTGAATAAAGATAAAGTGATGTGTGCTCCAGAAAAGGCGAAGCATTGGCCGGATGAACTTTTTCCGGGCCAGGTTTCAGGAGGCACCACAGGACACAGGAGATGAGGGGAGCGCGGTTCGCTAGAGAGACAGTCGACACCTCTGTGATGATGGATCGATGGGAGGTGATTCATCGAGCCCTGTCGGAGGCGACGGCTCGTGGACGGACGAGGGCTCTGGGAGCGAGGAGGGCAGGGGGTGCTCCTGAGGTCGGGATCGCCGCACTCCCTCTTCTAGCTATCGCTGCTGTCATTTCTGTGTCGGGCCTTCTGGCGTCCCTCCTGTCCTGTCCGAGTCAGCCCCAAAGGTCGGCGGGCGTCCCCTCTGTCAGATCTGGCTCAGAAATCTGGTGGATAGCGGTGCTGGTGTGATTTCCCAGATAATAATAATATCGCTCGCCTGTTACCGTCAGCCCGCTTTGCTGATGAGATCCCAAATCTGCGTTTAATTAAACCGTCTCCGACGAATAAGTTGCCTGCTAATAACATTGACGCGCCCAGGGAGGGGATCGTGTCGCGTCCCAGAATCCCTCTGCGAGGCTCCCTCTGAAATGTGACTGCTAGTTAAACAGTGAGGCCTCAGTGTGATAGGTATCGTTCATTTCTCTTCCCAGTTCTCCGCCAGTTCTGATTTAAAGTCCGGTCTCCTATGATGTATAAGATCAGTTTCGGCAGGGATCGGGCGTGTTAATAACAAAACTGTCAGCGTACCTAAGAGACCGTCTACTGAGCGTCGAGTCCGACCCAGCGTAAGGGCGGTAAGGGTGCACGCCCGGGACGTCGGTCCGTAGCATTTCTGGCGTCATCCATCGTACAGGGGCGGGCGGTGAAAAACCAGGCGCCCACCCGCTCACCCCGCGCATCCATCACAAGCCGTTAGCCGGGGAACCCGAGTCGGCCCGCCGAGCCGATGAGACCGATTGGTGATCGCTCATGGAGGAGCTGGCGGGGCGTCTGCGACTGGGCGGCAGTCGAGCCGCTCTCGGCCGGCCGCCGGCAGCTATCGCCGTGGGATCCATCACAGCTGCTCCCAAACTGGGAGCGGTCCATTAGGTGCGGCCCGTAAGAACAGACGGCGACTCAAGGGCAACGTTCGAACTCAAACCACCGCAAGATTCATACCTATTGAGGAAAGAAGGCATTTATCTAAATTTGCTTTCATACTTGCCTGCACAATAAGTTCACATGTAACGATAAGATAGACAATTGGCAGTAATTCTGTTTGAACAAAAACAACGTATTACCGGTCTGACAACAGATAGCAAGCAAACAAATTAGAAAGACCACGTCCTCCTGAAGTCTGCCATAAAACGGGAGGTAAAGGCAACCGTTATTCGATGATCTTGAGGGTTACAAGCATAAACCAGCCATGTGTCACAACACAGTTTTGCGTATAATTTGTGATTAGACTTTGTGCTGTCATGAATCACTAATAAAATTTGATTCATTCAAAGTTGAATTACCTAATGATGATTTATGATGTCTCCAAAGATATAGCGAACATATTTTTAATAGACTTTACGTGCGACAAAAAGTTCTTGTTTGCAACTTACGATGGTAGTCCAACGGAAAACAATGAAAGTGGATACAACGTGACCGAGTCTCTCATTATCAGACAGGTGTGTCAGTAGAGAGCCGTCCGCTGGCAGCCTCACAGGCTCACAGCGGCGGCTGTCCCGTCCAACATGGAGACACGCCGCTGGAAGCGAACCCAACCGACTCCCCCCTGGGGCTCCCAGCAGTCGGCACTGAACGGCTCGACGAGCCGAGGGGACCTCACCGTCTGCCCGCCAGTCAACTTGTTTACTTCGAACCGAGCAATATGTGGACCTGAGAGAGCCGTCGGCGTCACTTCAGAGCGGCTCGGTAGGCGGCACGACACAGGGCGGCGGAGGTAATGAACGCTGCTGGCGGCCGCCCTCCAGCGACCAGCAAACACTCGAGGGCACCCAGTTTGTCTCACAGGGGACGAGACGGGGCGACACTCCGACTGACAGAGAGACAAGGGAGAGAGTGACAGCCGTGGTGGAGAGCAACGTTCCCAGCTGGGGCGACCGGCCTCTTCGTGACACAGCCATGGTGAATGGTGAGAACCTCAACAAGTGTCGGGATGAAGATCATGAAGCCTCATGGCTCATGTTCCCTCTCGCCTTCATCTCTTTCTCATTCCTATTTTCCTTTTTTCTATTTTTACATCTTCTCTCTCTCTCTCTCTCTCTCTCTCTCTCTCTCCCTCCCTCCCTCCCTCTCTGTCTCTCTATCTCTCTGTTTCTTTCTTATCTCTTTCTTTTTTCTTCCCCTTCCCTTTCTTTCTCTATTCCTCCCCACCCAGTGCTCAAGTCGGGCAGACCTTAGACAAAGCACACGGACCGGTCTTTGCTGGGGAGCGGTCCGCCCCTCTCGGCAGGCTGACAGACCAATCAGCGTATTTGCGCCGCCCGCGGCCACCGGTGGTGCAGAGTTTTTGTGCCACCCTCTGTCTAACACGGGCGAGGCTTTGTTGTATTTGTGCAGCTTCGTCACAGGCCCGGTTCTTGTCCACGTTCGAGCGCTTATGGTGGTGTTGAGGGGGCTGTGACGGCTGTGGTGCGGGCAGTGATATAGTGGCGCTATTGTCAGCGATGCACAAATGCATCCTAACTCCTAACGCACTTCCCTTGGTTGATAGCATGAAAACTTTCTTAGAATCCCTCCCAAATTCATAAATAAATAAGTGGATGGTAGGGACAATCAGCTCAATTCATTAGAAAATAGCCGAAGCAAAAAAGACGAACCAGAAGAATCACAAAGAGAAACAAAGTAAAGCCTGCGTCAATAAAAACAGGGACAACATTCGAGACCTTTTTCGTGTTCAGGACTTCCGATACAATTATCGATCACCATCCTTATTTCCGGATGGTAATCGCCCACGGGACATTCCCACTGGGTTGCTGGTGAGGACAGCACTAATTAAGAGCATAACTATCCGGAATGGCCGTTTGCACGGCTGGGTGACCTATTCTACGCGGCGAGACGGTCCTGTCCAAGAGCCGGGCTCAGCTGTTTTGCGGCCGGTGTTTTCCTCTTATCCTTTCATCCCAGGACATTAAAAAGGTCCTGTTAAACCGTAAATTGTAGCTCAATAACCTATAGGTCAGTCTTTTCATAAGCCTGCGTATGGAAACTTACCACCACTCTTTATTCTTTTTCTTGCAATGCTGATCAGTGCAACAGCATCTACAGCTGGGCGCAGGTAGCGGTGCTAATATTGACTTTGAGGCTCTGTTCCCTGCAAGCAAATCTAATGCACACTCCGTCCCGTGACTTAGCCATTGCCCAACCTCCCAGCTGGCGCATCAGGGAGGAGCAACAAGCGCGGTGTCCGCACACTTCTCCCCTCCCCCTCCCGCGAGACCCGTACCAGACCTGCGTCAGTAGGCGTCTCACGAGCGTCGGCGCTGAAATTATGACCGGGAGAGGGCGGCGTCGGCGTCTGGGCGCCACGGAGCAGGCCGCCGGCCTTTGTGGCTCGATGTTCCAGCTGCTTTAAAGAAGTGGCGCGCCCAAAACACAGACAAACAAGCTGGGAAAAAGGCTGTCGGATTTGACCAACTAGACTAGACTCCAGGGAGGTGATCTCCCTGAGTGCCCCACTCTTGATGTGATGGGTGCTCGTTCTATCAGAAGTTTCCTTTTTCTGCCGTAACAGACATTAGGCAATCGCCTTACACTCCAACAGCCGCATCATCGCATTCAGGTCACACACGGATCGGGCGCTTTGGACTGTGGATCGCGCACGGCCGTGTGTCGGTGAATTTCAGACGGTCGGACTGCGCGTCTCCTGGGCGGACCGAAGTCACGTACGGCTCTCCAGGTGGTGCTTGTGGCGCACAAACAGCACACACGCGCCGCTTCAGATGGCCCTCGCCGAGTCGCCGCGGACCTGTTTCTGCCGCGCACCTCGGCCGGACGGGCAGGCGCCGCTCGGCATTGTACTAAACCCGGCCGAGTGGCGGTGGCTGAATCGCGACAAGGTTGTCCCCCAGCGCAGCTGTCGCTCCGCAGTCGTCTTCCAGATCTCACATCCCTTTCGGTGCCACCTCGGAGTGCCGCTGATTGCCGTGTGACTGAACTCCCATTGTCCCTGACCACTGAGGCCTGACACTAAATCTGGCAGCTCGCCACCCACCTCTCCTGTATGCAAATTCTGACACGCGGACAACAGCTAAGTGCATAATTTTCTGCGGTTGCTTCGCTCGTTAGCATATTCGGGAGATAATGGGTGCGCGTTTGGGGCGTCCCGGGCGACCGGCCATTTGTCGCGTGCCACTTCAGACAGCGGCTAATGGCAGAGTCGACGGTACAAGGTGGGCGCGGACCGGAGCCGCCCGGCCGGCGCAGGAACATAGGCGGAGAGCAATGGGAGGGATGGGGTAGATCAGGTATAGAATGACAGCCCACCCCTTAGGAGGAGCTGACCGACCAGGCAAGGTGAGTGCAGACCACGCGAGGTGACAGTCGTAAGAGTCGACCAGGCGGTGTGAAAACCACCCGACACCCGAGCCCAGATGTGTTCCAGCAGCCGCGTGCGTGCATAACTCTCTCACATTAGGTGCGATGTAGCCGTCAGGCCGCCGAGTGCCGAGCCGCATAACTGCGGTCGCGAGTAGCACGGATCAGGCTACTGTGGCCGGAAGGAGCCGCTTATTCAGCGATAAGGTGATTTCGGCGAGCGAGGCGTCTGAGCGAGCTAATTGCAGCGAGCCGGTGTGTTTCGCGGAAGCCGGGCGGCGCGCGGCGCCAGCGTCAATAGATTGGCCGAGGCTAATGCACCGTGCGATGGTTTTACTATGCACGAATGGGCCAGCACTTTACCCAATCGC